AGCCAAACTCATTAGGTGATGGTTGCCCTGCTTGCACCTCACTGGATCCTTCTTTTTCTTTCTCCTGTCTTTTCATCATTTTCCATCAATAAAATTTTCCAATGTCAAAACCTGAGCTGTCGCCTTTTGCTGTTTGAGTGTCAATGGTCTCACATCCCCACCCAGCACAGTTACTGGGCTCAGCAGGCCATCGAACTGGATGGAAAAGGGGCACAACACTCTTCTCTATAAAATGTCATCTTCAAGAAGAACCAAGGCATGCACAGGAAGGGGGGAAGGGGGAAAACTTCCAGACCATTACATAACCACATCACCTGCTACACAAAAGGCTGGGACACATCAATTCTCTCCTCCTCATGSCTCTGCCAAAGTCCCTCACTGCCAGCACACATTTTACAGAATTTCTTTTTAGCAGGACTCTCAAACCCTCAGAACAACCAGAAATAAAGTCTTGCACTTGCGTAGGAACCCTCGAGTGCAAGGGCTTCATTCCCTTCTGCTCAAGCAGAGTCAGCAAGAGCAGGATTTCCAGCACTGTGGACAGTTCAATGTTCGATCGTTCAGGAYAGAAACAACATCAGATTTTGTCCTTTGTGAACAAACTCACACTGACAAATGCTTCCCTCCTTTGCCCATGGAATTCCATCTGTTTTCACTTGTGCCCAAGGCCTCTTGTCCTGYATGTCCACACTGCTGAGAGCAGCCAGGCTCCTCATCTTCATTGCCTGACATCAGGGATTTGCACACACTGGTCACAACCCCCTGCCCAGCCTTGTCCCCTGGCACTCCCAKCTCTCTCAGACACTCCTCTACAAAAGTCCCTCCAGACCCTTTAGGATCCTTCTGGCCCTCAACTGCTTTGATTCACTAAATCGACTTTAACTTCACACTAAGGAGCCCAGCACTACCAAAAACACCTCCCATGAGGACCCCAGCACTGCTCACGACATAGCAACAGTCACCACTTCCTGCTTGGTCATAATCGTTTTCCCAATCGAGCCATGGAATGTTTGGGTCCCTTTTCCTACAATGCTACAGGGACACCTCCTGCTCCATTTCTTCTCAGCCACAACCACAAAGGGATTTTCTCTGAACAAAACAATTGCTCTGATACACAGAAATTTTATCCTCTCTGGGCTGACCCTCCTACAAGAAACAGCCCTTGGCAGCTGCCCTTGCTGAACTCCAGCAGGTGCCCAGCACCACTCAGGGTTTCAGTGTTGGCCCAGTGGATCCCGCTCTGGGGTGACAGCACTGGGCACTTGCTGCCATCCGCACTTTGGGACACTGACCACAAGGACTCTGGACACAGCCATGCAGACAATTCTCCGGTCTCCCTGCTGGACACTGATAGAACCTGGACTTGATTAGCTTGTTGAG